GTCCCTGGAGTCTGTTCCTGTCCTGTTTGGTTGCTGAGCCAAACCAGACAGTGATGGATGAGCAGAACAGACTGGTTTGAGTGTGTTTAGCTCCAGGTTGTTGTGACTACATCATAGTACCAGCTGTTCAACCTGCCATCTGTAGGCCGACTTGTCTCCATCTTGGCTGAGACCAATGAATGTTGTGTCGGCGCAGTCATTGGTGTAGAATGAAAACAGCAGAAGGAAAGCATCCCTGGGGTGCACCTGCGCTGATCGTCCAGGGGCTGGATGTGATTTTCCCCAGCCTCACCTGCTGCTTCCTGTCTGTCAGAAAGCTAGTAATCCACTGACAGGTGGGGGCAGGCACAGTGAGCTGGGTCGGTTTGGAGTGGAGGATGTCCGGGGTGATGGTGTTGAATGGTGAGCTGAAGTCCACAAATAGGGCGCGTGCACAAGTCCGTGGGGAGTCAAGGTGTTGCAGGATGTAATGCTATGTTGACTGCATCATCTACTGACCTGTTTGCCCGGTAGGCAAACTGCAGGGGGTCCAGCAGGTGGTCTACGATGTCCTTCAGATGGGCCAACACCAGGCTCTCAAAGGGCTTCATAACTACAGATGTCAGGGTGTCAGGTTTCTAGCTGTTCAGTTTGCTGATGGATGATCTCTTGGGATCCTGGATGATGGTGGAACGTTTGAAGCAGGAGGGGATGTCACACAGCTCCAGTGATCTGTTGAAGATAAGTGCGAATATGGGGACCAGCTGATAAGCACAAGTTAAAAGGCGCATATGTGAACCACAGGGGGCTTCAGGTGAACCGGACAATGACAGAAGACAATCAGCAGTGTCGACTAACAGAGCCATACTTAACCCATGGTCAAAATCACCATAATTGATTTAGATTGATTTAGATAGAAAGCAAGGCAAACTTTGCCGGTAACAAGGGAAACCACCATCCAAAGAAGTATTTTCAGAATGCAAATATCCTGGAAGCTTTATATGGTAATGTGATTATAACTGAAAACACAGGCCTGTTTTACACATGTTTAAGAGGATCACTCATGTAAACAACCCTTTTATAGCATCTGACAGTTTTCTCCATGACTGCAGTGTGGAAAAAGCTGGCAAATGTTCCTGAAGATAACTTAGATGTCCTCTATGTTCATCTGCTACTCAGCTGAGTATACAGCACCCTGATATGCCAAATTCTGTTTGGACAAGTCATCGCTTACAGGCAAAGTTAATTACAATAAAAACTGTTTCCTGTTACACTGTCAGCCTGCTAGCAGCTTAACGGATGTCATTAATTACTTTCAGTCAGCAGTTCAGCTCCTCCAGGTTCCCACCAGCTGGACGGTACGTGCACACACACACACACACAATCATCCTTGGAGGAATTTCAGGCTGGCACCCTGACCTGCCCAGACTCACTCTGTGGACCAACTCCAGCTCTGATGACTGTGATTATCAGCTCCCTCACTGTGTGAGACTTATTCCAAGGTTGAACTCAACATATGAGGTTTGGCTGATGTCCAGAAGCCCCCGCTGTCTGTCTGCCAGACTCTACTGTCCTCACACACTCAAATGCAAAGGCTGTGCATCCCACCTGCTCAGATTTATACTGTAAATTCAATGCATAAATGGTGGTGGAACAAACATTGCTTCTCTGTAAATTTTTAGTGAATATAATTGAATACATTTTCCCATTGGCCTTTAACATTGTTCAAATGTAATTCATGGGGACAAAGTTCATTTTGTTCCACTTGTTAAGTTTGGCTGAAGCTACCACAGTCTGAAGCTTCAGCAATCCGAGTTAAACAGTCTTTTTCTTCTTGGCCATTCACTGACTCACAGTCGATCATTCGCAGGCTGGTAGGGAGGAAGAAAACTCCAAACTGTTACCATCTGACCCCTATTTGAATCTTGGCAAAAAACAAAAACAAACCCCAGTGTAATAATGCCATCAATTCCAGCTACATCAGATTGGCCTTTATGAGCTACACACAGCTGGACACCAAGAATTATGCCGTTTCATTTAAAAACAGAATCCGGGTCAGTGATGGTGCACTTTGGAAAAAGTAAAAAAAAAACTAAAGCTGAAGAATCTTTTTCGCTAAGTCCAGATATATCTCCAAAATGAACTCCAGCCATATTAGGAAGTATGAATCCACATTTTGGAAGTGAAGAAAATTTGATCTAGTTCAGTGAGTGCCTGTAGAGAAGAGACCAATTACAGAAGACACGAGTGGAAAGACAATTTTATGTGCTGAATATAATTAGCTTCAGCATCACCTCTGGCTCGAAGCCTCTTCCTAAACTGATGGTCTGCTGAATAAAAGCAAACAGAGTTGAAAACTAAATAAACAAAGCAGTGAAAAAGCTGCATGTTTTGAAATAATTTGTCTGCATACATGGGTGTAGAAAGCTCTGTGAACAAAGCATTACTACACTGCTGCCATCTACTGGAACAATCATCACCGCAGCCGATGACAACAGCCTGCAGATTTGATACACAGACTAGAGTTTTATTGTTTATATTAATTCAGAAAGATAAGCACTATAACATATGTTACAAACCAAGAACATTATGTATCTTGGGGAAAAAAAATAACTCTGGACATTTCAAAAAGTAGTAACACTAGTGAACATAAACATTCTTTAAATAACAACTGTACATTTTAATATGCAACTAAAAAAAGTAAACCAAAAAACTGATGAAATAGTGAGCCTAAGTGAGAAAAGAACTGTAGACAGTTGGTACCAAACAGAGCTAAAGCTGAAGGGATTACTGATCCAGGTTTCTGTTAGAATATGAAGATACAATAAAGTAAGGCAGCAGGAAGGAAAAGAGAAAGCAAAAGCTATAAACATGGGAAATTCAACTGCAAAGTGGCTCCATCTCTGACCTACAGTCTTAACAAGAGAGCAGGGTAACATGTATAATGGCTGACACCAAATATAAACTCTTACAAAACAACTTCACGATGTCCCCAAAACCCCCCTTCATTTTGTATTTGACAAAGAATCCACCTGAATCTCTTTCACACACGCAGAAAGACAAGACGGTGCCCACGGTGCAGGTGACACCTTCTGACTGAATTTAAAAAAATAAATAAATAAAATAAAACACAAATAGTGGTGTGCACCAGTTTAATGTCTACAAACCAAAATGAGTTGCTTAAATCGCTCACTACACCCTCCTGACAGTCAACATACATGTGGACACTGGACATGGAATATTTTGATGCCTAGTTAATTTGATCCTGCACCCTAACAAAACGAATGTGTTGCCATGTGACACCACATAGTGCACAAGCTGCACCTGCTCAACAGGTTTCACTTATTAACTGGAAAAAAGTTGCATAGCTGAATGAGCAAAGTCACAAGACTGCTCCAAATCGTTTTTGTAGGCAATACTAAAAGTAGCTCTTTGACCTTATGTTAACAGACACTAGGGGGCACTCAATGCCACTAATGGCCCAGTTATTACATAATCAACTGTAAATGTGAGCTCCTGAGAAAAGCAGTGCAGGAACACAAAGAGCAGAAAAATAATATTTCATCAAAGTTCTCATCACAACAAAAAGAAATGCCTGTGGTTTTGTGTGTCAACACGTTTAGTCCAATGAAGTCTTTTTCTTATTATTGGCTTCGTTCAACCTCTTAAGGTAAAAAGGAACATTCTTACTATGTGTGAAACTATGAGCCTACACAAAGTTAACCAATTAGTGCAAAAGGGGTTAAGTGCAGTGTTACATACTGTCTGATGTCCAAATGTTCACACTGCGCGGGAGTAGGAGGGGGGGGGGAAGGGGGAGCACCGTACTGCCACAACACGAGGACACAAAGCCAGGGGCAAACACATATTTAGGACAAAATCGATCCACAGTAGCACAGCGCATGCCCTTATTCACAACCAGAACTAAAGTACAGTACAAGTGCCATTACAAGTCGATACAAAACGTAAAATAAATCATATGCAATGAATGTACATACAAGTATTGGTAGAAACAAAAACATCAAAAATGTATAATGTGAAGTTTTTCTTTATAATGGGTTTCAACACTGTCCCAGTGCTGCCAGAGGAAGTCACAGCCAAACCATCTGTGACTGGGGGGGCGGGGAGATCCTCCCACCCACATCACATGGAAAAATATTGCATTTACTCCATACATCTTTGTATTTCTTAATTAGAAATTCAAAAACACTCTGTAGTAATATTTTAAAATCTCATCTTTGTAAACAGTTTGCCCTTTTTGTCTCTGAAAACAGTCAGACTGAAACTGAGGCTTACATATGTAAATATATATAGATTTATAAATCTGTGGCAAACATTTTAAAAATAACCAGATACGATATGAAATACATTTAAAACAGAAGCTCAAATTCTTTTAGTCTTCCAAAATCTTCCGCTGTGATGGCAGGAGAGGCAGCTGGATCCGACTTCACTGGGCTGCCACATGTTTTCCCAACACCGCATCGCTGCTCCATCTGTGAGCAGTGACTGCCTGACGGCATTTGCTGTAAAAAGTAAATTGTGCGGTGGCATTTGTGTTGCTCTTCAGCGTGGCAACGGGGTTGCTATGGTGTGTAACCATGGTGACAATGTTGCCATGGCTTCAGCGGGGCTGTGAGCTGGTGATGAGAGAGAGAGAGAGAGAGAAGCAGGAGGACTTCGGCTCCTTGCTCGTCTCAAGTGTTTGTCCGAGTGTTTTTGGTTCGAGGGGCAGAGTCTCAGCTGCTTCTGTTCCCAGTTGTTAAACTTCAACCCTAAACTGCAGTGTTTCACCTCATTTAAAGTAATGACAGAGAAATATGACCAGTGGGTAACTTTGTATGAAGCAGGTGTAAACCGTGTTTGTTCACAAGCCTCCTCCTCAGAAAGTGTGCATGTCTTTCACATTTAATGAATCTTGGTGGCAGTGGATGCATGCACAGCGGCCCAGCAGAGATTGTTAGCATGTATATTCAGATCTGTACATTCTATAAACTGCAAATCCACTTGTGTGTGTGTGTTCCTTTTCTTGAAACCTGTGACGCTCTTTACATTCAGAGCCTGTCGCTGCGGAAAGTAGCCTCCACAGATGGGTCCGTCAGCACCATGTTGGGATCACTGAGCATGCTCAGCCCATCCAGGCTGAGGGGCTCGATGCGCAGCTCGTCCTCTAACGGGAAGCCTTCCTCCGAGTCAAAGCACTCAGGCACTGTGGACAGAGTGCTGCTGATGTCCTTTGACAGACTGGGGTTGGAGTCGTCTGAAAGAGAGAAACAGATGATGGTGGGTGAACGCTTCCTCAAGTCTCCTGCTATAGCTGACAGTCTCACTGCCCTCATAATTAGTCATGGCAGCTCTTTTAAAAATACATCTGACACTCTCCCCCTTTTAAGGCTGCATCTAAACTTTAGCCCTGAGCCAAATACCAGCGCTTGGAGCCCAGAGAGAGCTGGAGCCCGAGGCGGCACAGACAGGTCAACAGCTTCATGAAGGTTTGAATGTTTTTCTCCTGTGGGAAATATCAAACTACTACCACCATAGATTACTGAAAAACAAACTGTTCTGCAGATGCTCCACTTTGAGTTAAGCCTCAGGGAAGATTCTCATTTGCATTCAGAGAAATAGAAATGTGTCAATAACGAAAATTCAAAGGAAGAACTGATCTATCTGCAGATGATCTGCATGTTTACAGCAAACAATTCTTATTTAAATCATGCCTTATAACTCAAGTATCCAAAGCTGATTATTCTCTGTGGTCTCTGGCTGCTTTTACCAAGGACATTTTAGGACTTCTAGGTATCCATCATGCAGGTTCTATTTCTTAGTTTTGCTGTGTTTCTTGTCAGTTATTTGCCGCTTGTCTGTTTTTTAGTAGCTACAGACAAAAAATGCAGCTTTAAAAAGGCAAACAAATAATTCTTGTCACTGGGAAATACATACACTCAAGCCCGAAATTATTCATACCCCTGGCAAATTCTGACTTACTTTTATTCAACCAGCAAGTTTTTTTTGACAGGAAATGACACAGGCTGCTCCCAAAAGATAATAATACGATGTACAAGAGGCATCATTGTAGAACAAAATATTTCTCAGCCTTTATTTACATTTGAACAAAAAGTGGCATGTCCAAAATTATTCATACCCTTCTCAATAATCAATA